TCTCGCGCCGATCCACACTGCGCGCACCGTGAAGGACCACTTGCGGCAGTGCGGCATAGAGGAGTTGCCATGGGTTCCGAAGGGCGCGGACCTCAACATCATTGAGAACGTGTGGGGCCGAATGAAGGCGGCCATGGTACGGACTCCTATTTATTCCGCCACAGAAGACCAGCTGTGGGACGCAGTCCAAGCAGAATGGGAACGTTTGAAAGGAGACGCGTCTTTCGTGTCAAGTCTTTACGACTCGCTGCCGCCAAGGATGGCGGCTGTAGTCGAGCTAAACGGGGATATGACCCGTTACTGAGCCTGTTTTAGTTGACTTGATTTTTCTTGGAATGCTGGTAGCAGCCATTCAATTTTACTTCAGCAATAAAGTTTGCACTTTTCTTACCCGACACTACTGACACAACGTCGTCGTTACAGCAATTGGCTGCAGCAAACCTTATGGGCAGAAATCATAGACGTCTGCACCCCACAGTCACCAAGACAGATCTATCAGAGGCCAAAAGGCAATAACAATAAGGAAGACAAGAACCACAAGCTATAAATGCAGTTATCAAAGTCAGAACCATGTTAATTAATGATGCAGACGCGCTGGCCGACAATTAGTTTATGATCACCGCGCCCGAGATAGCTCTAGACTTCACAGGAAGCGAGGTCGGCGAAGCTGGCGCAGACTGACGCGAGAAGAAAAAAAGTCACAATGTTTATTTGCTTTAACAAATACTGAAACTAAACCAGGAAAGCAGATGAGCACATTGGAGGAGCTTTCATTTTAGCGTTCACCACCTTTCGGGTATGCCAAAGTTCTTGCTATCACCAGTAGCATGCGCATGCTAGACAACAGCCGTAGCAGACAACACACGTAGCAGACAACACGCGTAGCAGGCGAGGCGCGTAGCAGGCGACAGGCGTAGCAGACGACGCGCGTAGCAGACGACAGACGAGCGCTCAGATGACGTGATGCGCGCGACGAGTATATAATCTCGCCGCACGCGCGATGCGCATGCGCAGCAGTGTCGCGTCAGTCCGGTAGAGCGCTCTGATAGTGCCCGCTGCCACGCGCTCCGGCGTTCCCGCTAACTGTGATCAAGATAGTACGTACGCGAAGCCCTATGCAGCCGGGAAGAGATGACTACAAGTAGCATGGCGACGGCACCACTTCCGGAATGCGCGCGCCTGCGCAGTTCGCTTGGTGACATCGGTCTATTCAGGGGGGGGGGGGAGGTGCCACCGCTTCCAATGCACCCTCCTCAGAATTTACGGCTCTCCGTGGGGGCCGCCATGTTAAAACTTGATACCAGTGTTGCTGCATCTGTAGGTCATCTTTAAGTTAGAGCTGACGGAGAAAATCTGGCCACGGCGCAACGCCGATATACGTTGGAAGCTAGAGCCGGTTTGCTTTCGTTGTTTTTGTTTGGTTGGAGAAAATCTAGCAACAACGCACGTTCAACATGGCGCCGGTATTGCTTCGGCAGCTTCGGTTTGACCACGTTTGACGCGGTTTTCGAGCACATGTAGCGAAGACGTGACCGGAGAAGTGCCCCTTGATGGTCCCGGAAGACGGAAAGTATCATTCGTAATCGTCGTGTGTGCTTTGAAAGCGAAGGGAGTCACAGGGTCCACGAGTGCGCAACCACAAGGCAAGGTTCACGACAGCGCTCCGTTGACTTCGGCGATCTCGTTCTGTTTGGTGCATAGGTTTGGTGCAACACGGCGATGCGGCAAAGAGTTGAAACGTTCGTGGTGTGTGGTGCGGTGCTTGGAGGTAGAAGCCCATACTAACAAGAAGCGCAAATTGGTTATTGTGGGGTTGAAATTCAGCGGTTTCAGTCCCGTCGTCGTCAGCTGATCCGGTCCAGCTGGTCCGGGAGGACGCAGTGAGTGCTTTTAAAAATAAATCTTCCTTCGTTCCGTTTGAAAATGTGGAAGATTCTCGACGCATACCGTGAGTAAAAAGCTGCGGGCGTTTTCAACAAAATTACGTCGTTTTAATTGAACAATGGATTCCGGATTATTGTCCTAGACCTGCCCTTTTTATGCTTCGTGTTGTTGGCGTTTGCACAGCGACGCTCACCGCCCGAGTAGATGATTCGGTCCTGCAAACGAGCGGTCATACAGAATTTCAGGGAAACTTAAGTCACCACCGATATTTTCTTGTAAATCTCGTGTGAGTTTGTTGCGCTCATCATGCGGTGGGAAGAAATTAGGGCAACGTTTCCTACCTGCCTACAGATGCATGAGCTGAGACCATTTTTTACGTAGTGAACATAGCGTTTTTTTCTTTATTTTGGAAAGAAGTGTTGGGGGAATTTATTATGGTACAATCACTTGAGAGTTCAGAAATTGGAGAGAGCGAGCATGCTTTCCCAACTTTGTCTCTTTTCTCTCTGGCATTGCCCCTAGTTTGAAGTTGCAGTTTCAGTAGACATGCCCACTAGTAGGTACAAACTGCTCTAAAGCAGGTAAAAGACTGCTAAGTCGGGGCAGTGCGGACTCCGTGTTTCGCGCTTTTCACAAGGTGACTGGGTAAGTGCTTTTGCGAGGTATGCGGAATACACAAACGATTTTGTTACGCCCGTCGGTTGCGTCTCTCCAGCAAAACGAATAAGATGATCTACAAAAGCGCAATCACAAGCCAATATTTACGATAACAGTGCATTTGATTCGGTGGTACGTGTAGTTGTATATTACCCTGCTTTCTGCAACACCGTGTCATGGCGAAGAGCTGGAACGTTCACGGATTGTGCTGGGCTACCGGTTGACCCAAAGGCGGATCCAGAACTCCGTTTTTTTTTTGTTTTTTTATTTCGGGGGGAGGGAAAATCTAAAGCAAAATAGACAGGAGTCGGGTTGCGCCTTTTGTTTTAACCGCCGCAGAACCACAGTGCACCGACGGCCCCTAGATGTGCACCGCTGCGCCGACTTTTGGTTCTAAGCCGTGCTTTGAAACCGCCGCCGCGGACTTCAGTCTCGGTTGAAGCGACGGAGTGGTTCTCCAAGTTCAGAGTACAAGTGTGCCTGCTAAGGTGCGGCCTACCCTATTTCGAACCCTCGTCCTTGAGTACCGAGCCTCCTACCACCTGGCAGGCCGGTAGTTAGTGTTATTTCGGGGGATCCACCCATGTCAAATCGCACTCCGAGAAGGGGGCAAGGAGGGGGGGGGGGGGGGGGGGGGGGCGGCCGTCCCCGTCGCCCCCCTCTTGGGTCCGCCGCTGGGTTGACAGAAGCCCGCGTCGCCCGCATCGGCACTGAGTGCACTTGGGCTGTTGTAGTGGCTCTAGGCTGTTGATGCTCAAGCCTTTCATCCGCGGCTTGCCGCCAGCTGATCCGGCTGCTCGACGGTGAGGAAGCGGCGAAAGTTACCTCTGAAGTAAATGTAAATCCTTGTTTATACAGTTATCCGGTGTCAAAGTGTGGAAGGTGTCCAACCTGTATTGAGGGCGGGAACTACGAGCGTTTTACCTTGCTTTCGTAACCGAAACCAGAACAGCGAGATAACTGCCTTGCGTACTCTGAAATCATGAAAGTCGTGAAAAACCCGTTTTTAGGGTTTCAAACCAAGTAAACAAGACAAATATAATTAAACTTCGTTGTCTGTATGCAGGAGGACTTATGTAACACAACAATACATTCTCGTTCCAAAACGAAAAAGAAAGTAAAACTCAGTCCGCCGTATATGGCAGCAACCTCTCCGCTGCAAAACGTATGCTGGCAACGTAAGCGGTTTTAATATGGCAGCCTCCGCTTTGCGCCGCGTTCCCTTTCCCTCCTCCCCCCCCCCCCCCCCCTGGGTCTATTGGCATCGTCGGTGGCGCATATCGGTCACGCGTTCTGGCGGGAGGAAAAAGTGGGAGAGGAGGGGAGAGAAAATGAAGAGAGAGAGACATACCCAAATGATCCCGCGCCCCCAGGGGAGGAATCGGCGTGGCCATCGCTACGTCTGATGGAAATGAGCGCATGCGTCCTGTAGGCTGTACCCTACGATGGACTAGGGCACCTCCTGTGACTGCAGCTGTACCGTCCTGTCACGGCCGACAGGGGACTGAGGGCCCTATTGGCGGAGCACTGCCTCAGAAAAGCTTGCATCCGCAAGAGAAATTATGATACGCAGAAGTTCTCTCGCGGCGCGCTAATTTATGTTGATATAAATTAGTTTCGTAAACATATAAACTGTTTGGAGAACACAAAAATAAATTCGTTTCCCCTTAGCCATAACAATCCAATCCAATCCACCTTTCGTGTACGGATTGCATCTTCCTTCCTCACGCGGTCCGTTCATATGCCCCCGTGTCGATCACATTATCAGACTTATCGTCATTTCATAATGGCCACTGATGCTGATCCCGGGACCCCATCGCTGCGAGGGCTCGATAAGGAGACGAAAAACTCGCCTCCGAGCCAGCCACAATTATACCACGTAACAGGCGGCCTGTAGCATTAATTTGCCATCGTAAGATGTGACGGAGACTGAATAAAAAAAGAAAAATTTTTTTTCCCTACACTGTTAATGCACCGCCAAAAAAAAAAAAAAAGCCGTTTCAAGACGGGAGCTCCAGAAAAGGGGCGAAGGAAGGACGAAACATCGAGGAAATACGGATATTTCTTCGTGGCGTCGTCCGAATACGGATATTTGTTTTTGACACATGGTTGGTGTTCCTTTGTAGCAAACGGGTCCAAACACGAAACCCCGTTTTCTTAGTGCAACTAGCTAGGACTTAGTCTGTAGTCATCGCTGAACACAGTGCCTGTTTCAAATTATGCGAAGTCTGGTTCTGAAACGGAAAAACAAAACGCTTTGGGGGTTCTTTGGCAGTTTTTCTGGACAGAGACGAAAGGTAATCATGAGGGTACCAAACAGGCCCTCCAGAGCAGATGCAATATAGTGGGAAAATTATTTTCTCAGACCACTATTGCTCTGAAATCAGGCGGAATATCACCGAAAAACGAAGGGAATTGAAGTGGATATATATACATTTATACAAGAAAAGGTGCACAATTCAGGAGTCAATCATGGCTGCGAGTCCCTTGAGGTCCAGCTTGCAGGTCGAGTAATCAGAACTGCACGCATCCTGCCCGGCGGACTTGCCCTTGCGGTAGGCCTTGGCGTAGTTGAAGACGGATGACGACTCGCTCACGGGTCCCATGGAGTTGACGAAACCGTCCACCCGCTCGCCGTACTTGCCGTAGTCAGTGGGGTTGGCACTCACTTCACACGTGAGTCGGAGGACACAGCCGTCTGCGTCCAGCTCATGCACCAGAGCGAACGCTTGGTCAACGATCTTCAGGTCCGAAGGGGCACTGCGCTTGCTCTGCGAGAGACCATGGAAATGGTGAGTAACAATAAATGGTTAATTTCAATCTACGCCAACTCCACCCACTCCTCTATCTAAACAAATACAGAACTAATTTGTGGAACGTCAAAGTTACTTCAGGTTTCACTATGCAGCCTGTTGTCGTGAATTTCATTCGCATGCACAAAGCGGAACTCGCAGGCTACGCTGGCAGTGACGAAGCAACACAACCTTAAACACAGAATGTGTTCTGGGGTCTATGAGGAAAAAAGAGCTTGGAAGAGAAAGGAATATCATAAAACGAATTTACAAACAGCCATATTTACAGCGCGTGTATAACTAGTATCACATTAAACTTGCCGAAGTCGCCCACGACCTCGGCAAGACAGCAAATTTGGCAACAGACTTGCCCCTACTGCTAAAGCGCGGATCCGAAGATACTTAGAGCGTACACGTACCTTGTATGAAACCTTCTTCCGGTCATCCACGTTCACCAGGGGAGTCTTCAGATTTCCTGCGTGCTGAAGAAAGGACCACTTGGTTCCATCGATGCCCGCGGCGCCATGGGACGTATAAGAACTGTGACTCGAAGCAAGCTTGGCAGACTGGTCGGCGCGCAGGACGAAGTCTTTCCCCGGCAGCTTGAAAGTTGTGGCCTTCTTGAAAGGAACTCCGAGGACGTAAGGGAGGATGTTCACGGGAACCTTAATGCTCGGGCCATCGAAGAGACCCTTGGACTTGGGAGGCGCCGGCACCAACCGCTCCGGAAACTTCTGGTTGTCGATCGAAGCTCGAAGACCTACTCCGTAGCGACTCACTTTAAACCAGCCGAGATGGCCCAGGAGCTTCATGGCGATGGCAACCTTGATCGCGGCGAGTCCTCCGAGGCTGGCGAGAGCTCCGAAGGGCAGGAGGGCTAGACTGGTGAAGAAGAGTCCTTCGGCCTGGTGGAAGGACAGCAGCAACTGCAGGGAGACGGCGGCAGCAACGAAGAGCGTGGAGGTCTTCATCGTGAACGGTGATCGGCAGTTGTGGCTGATTGCTGCGCTGGCGTTCGCTTATATAGGTTTCGTCAAGACGACCGTCAGACTGGAAGGGGACGTGCGCATATCGGTTTGGGTGAGATAAGGGGTGCTGTTTGAACCGGACCTGCTACTTGTAAAAGGTAGTGAAGGTTTCTTCTTTTGTAATGAATTTGGGAAGACCCTATTATAAGGAAATTGAACTTGTTCGGTGCATCCTACTAAGAGAAAACAGTGGCGTGCTGGATGACCCACCGATAAAAAAAGTGTGGATGGCGGTACAAAAAAAAAATAGAAAGAATACGCATACAGGAAGGACGTGTCGAACTCCAGTGTGAGGGCAAATGGAAACCAGATATGCATGAATAGAAAAAAAAAAAAAAAAAAAAAAAAGAAGGGGGGGAGGCGAATTTGTAAACTTGATTCTTTTATATCTGCCTTTTTTTTTCCGGGTAAAAGCTGACCCCACTTCCCCCCTTAACAAAACTGTAAAGTGAATTCTATTGTAAGGAGAAATATAAGTGCCCCAACCTTTATAGGAGTGGGATAAGCTTTCTGGGTATGCATCTCCGGGCTATTGTGTACGCACCGTGGACGTGACCTTGTTAGCACTTAAGGCTCCGGTGTTTTCCCTTCCTCATTTCTTCATTTCATTATTTCCTGCCACTGGTCTTGCGCTGCGTCTGTTTATTGTATGTCCGTTTCGAGTAGAAAACAGTTTTTTCACGTCCTTCACTTCCCCCCCCCCCCCCCTGTTTTTTCATTAATGCATGAAAAACGTCCATTGGTCTTGGGGACCTTTCCTAGGTGAAATGTACCTAAAGTGGAATCGCATTATTTCTTTTTAGTTACGGTAAATGTTCCATGTGTTGTGTTTTTGTATTTTTTGTTTGCACGTTAGTAAAAAAACGTAGACAACGTAGCAAAGCTCTAGATCGGAATAAAAATACCCATAACTGCTATCTTCGCTCCTCTTCGTACCCCTACTTCGTGTGCAACTTCGTATACCAAGGAGGAACCGACAGAGACATAGAAAGGGCCATAAAAAAAAAATTTTTCAAGTGAAGATTCGCAATAAAAAAAGGGCGGCCAGTGTTTACGGGCGGCGGAGAAAAACTCACGGTAAAGCTGTCCGATGCGATGAAAAGCTCCCCTACAAATCTAAGAATCGCGCATACACTCAAGTGAAACACGTTCACTCAACTGTACTATGCTAGGATGCCATACACAATATCTTAAATTTCCCGGGGGAGGCTGGGGACAACAGAGGCCGAATCCCGGAGAAAAGCTCACCGGAGAAAAGCTCACCGGAGAAAAGCTCACCGGAGATAAGCTCACCGGAGAAAAGCTCACCGCAAAACCGGCGGATGCGGAGAAAAGCTCACCGGCCATTGAGCGTATGCGCAGAAAGGCTCATCGATATTTTTTCTTCTTTTTATGTGGAGGCTGTTGGATCGTGCGTAACAAATATCAATTTATTATCATTAAAATTCGTCAGCTTTGTAAAAAATAAAATGTCCTCTTTTGTAATATTTGTTAAGCTTAATGGGTATATTGCTCCCAAATTAATAATCGCGGGTCAGTGTTTTTTGTGGCTTACTCTCTAGGCAACGAAAGCCTAACTAAAATGTTTGTGAACTTGAAGAACAGGAAAAAGTTTAAAAAAAGGTAATGATGACTGCCTAAAACCTAAAAATCAAAGGTGTAAATGCCGAAAATTCAAAAGTGCACGCGCAACACCGCGGTGCCTGAAATTCTCTTTGAAGCTTTTGTTAAAGGGGTCATAAAACGCTTTTCCAACTTTTTCCTGTTTTAGCTTTCCTCCTCAACTCATAAATCGCCCATTCCACCAAACAGTTAAAGAAGACGAAAAGAAGGGAGGCCCCTCTCGCTCGGAATCTGGTTTGTGTAGCCGGACAGAGCCATTGTCCCCCTAGAAGATTAACCCGTCGTTCAAAATTCAGACAAAAGTTGCTTTCCCCACCCCGTTCATCCCGAAGCTGACAGTGCTGTTGAAGCTACGTGCTCGTTGGGCCAGCCACACTTGTCACGTGAGCGTGGCAAATGTGGCTGCAGAGAATGAAGTCAGGTGATGAAACGGAGGCGGCTGATTGGTCCGGCAAGCGCGTAGCTTCCAGCACAATGTCAGCTTAGGGGTGAAGGGAATAAGTGAGGTCCGGTTGCGTGTGACGTCAGTTTGGACCCGATGACGAGCTTTTGGGACCGCGGATGTATCACAGTGAAAAGGCAGAGAGGTCGCGAAGGGGAGGAGGTACGAAATAGTCCGCTCTGTTTTCAAATTTTCGCACTGAAAGTCGGGCTTTTGACTTTCTACCTTTTTTCTTTTGGTCCACTGAACTATGTGCTATTAGTAAAATCCCAATCTAAAATGATTTATCCCAACCCAAAAATCGTTTCATGGGCCCTTTAACATTTGAAAACAGGATCAGGATAAAACAGTCAATAGGATATCGAGGCTTCTTTCTTCCACGGACATGCACGTTTTCTAGCCGTTCGTGCTGGTGTTTCCACAAGTTTCCTTTGTGTGATAGTGCCCTTCTACGGTGAGCCACTCATGACCTTCAGAGCGGCACACTGTCACCGTTGTTACCCGCCTAAGGTAGCGAAGTGGGTGAGTTGGTAAACGTTATGCATGATGAAAACTGCTCTAACGACGACGACGGAGTGAAGACAACAAACAAGACAGGACGAACCTGTTCTCGCAACTAAAGTTTTGTTAGTGAAATTAACATAAAGAATACAGCGTAGCCGACACTGATTACATTAACAAACATCTACTTATCTATTAGGCACTACACAATATTTGGACCTCAAGCGATTCACACACCGCTATTCATATTAGCTCGCAAAAAACAAACCTCTTTATCTGACAGAGCTACCGACGGCGCACCCTCAGCTGTCAATAAATTGTTGCCTTTTTTACCAGTGTACGATGTTCTGATTTTATACTTGCGGCTTCATTAATTTACAGAATGGGTGATTTCTAATTTCTGAGGAATGAGTAAATATGCCCAATGAACCTCAAGAATATTACAAAAACGTGGAGATATTTTTAATGAAGTGACGAATGCGAACTGTGTTAAATTTCCACGTTTTACGCAGAATCAAGCTAAGCTAAAAAAATATTGGTGAGCTTTTCTCCACATCTGCCGGTTTTGCGGTGAGCTTTTCTCCGGTGAGCTTATCTCCGGTGAGCTTTTCTCCGGTGAGCTTTTCTCCGCCGCCCACAGAGACCACTCCCCCCTTCGGGAAAGACTCATCACCAACTAACAAATGCGAATTCGTCTAGCAAAGAATTATTCTAAATAAATCATTTCGCAGCGGAACATGGTAAGGAGAATCAAGATTTAAATACAGGAGCAGCCGAATAAATATACTAATATGCTTAATTAAGTTTTGTTATTTTGCCAGTTTTGATCGTAAACTCAATGCATATTACTCCGTTCTAGTGCTAAAGTAGCACGTACCACTGTTTTGCTTGTGCTATTGCTGGAACAGTACTCATATGCAAGCTTCCACCTTCCTCGTCCGTGTCTCGAATGTCCAAGTTAAAGGGAAGGAGGACAGAAAGGACTGTTTGGACAAAACAAAAAGAACTCGAGACTCGCTTGATGCTGGAGTGGATTGGCTATATCCCTAACGAAATACGAAAAGGGAAGACCTCCCCTGGCCCTCTTCATCACCCTCTCGTCAAGTTGAGACAACACCCAAGTAGAGAGCTACCGTGGAGCCAAGCTGGTGCCGGGTAACACGGTGGCAAGGCGACTGGACTCCACCGTCGTCGGTCGCTGAAGTTTCGTCGCCTTCTCAATCGGGTCTGATGGCGCCTTCGAAGTTTACCGACTGTTGCTGCCATTGAACAACACATCGCAGACAACATGTAATTTTTTTTGTCGTTTATGTCAATTTGTTTTTGGTACAAACGTTTTTGTTTTTCTTTTTTTTCTTACGATTCGCCGTAGGGCAGGCCTCAAAGCGCCTTTACCCCGCTCTTTTCAAAAAGGGCATTTCGCTGCTGTCGCTTGTGCGAGTGAGTGGACCTCTTTTTTCATCAATTCCTTCGTCTTGCTTCTGCTCTATTTTTGCTTCTGACACGTCAACTGTAAGGTGCCCCGAGGCCCTTTTTCGCTTTCAATGGACCGTTTTGTTTGGCAGGAGCGTCGCAACCATTGCCGTTGCCGGGAGATTCTTTTCCTACGTATTTTCTGCCGTCTGCAGGCTTGTTTCTTTTTTTTTTTATTTCTATTCTTTCTTCACCTGGAATTGAGTATCAAACGCCTTTCGTCGAACACTGTTTCATCGAAAAAATGGACGCTTCGTCAAACGCCGTTCTATCGAACGCCGTTTCTTCGAATCGCTGACGGCCGTTTCATCGAATGCCTTTTATATAAAAAAGTGTGAAAGATGCTCTTTTATGCACGGATCGAGTGCATTTGCGTGTTATTCGCTCATTTCATCGTCAGGTTTTTTTAATATCCAATCTTGTAGCTGTTACAATTAATTTTGATGCAAGTAACCCATGAGGATATTTGTACCGATTTTTATGTTTGTTTCGTATATTGTGCTTTTCTGTTCACCCCCTTTCTATTACCCGTTGGGCCTTGAGGGTATTGTAACAAAAAAATAAAAAGTCGCACTCCCGGTAGGAGCGCACTCCAACTCATGGAGGCCAGAAGGCGACTTAGGCTTTGCGCAGGCGCAACAACTTTAGCCATGTGAGCCTCTTAGCCTCTCATGTCTTTCTATTGATGCTTTTTTAATGCCCGAACCTTGCAGTAGCTAAAGCTGAAGTGCTATTTATGAAACTACAACGAAACATTGTTTTTTTTTAGTTCTAAGACCCAACGAAGTCAAAAGTAAGTACAGTCCTAATCACACTTGTCTATAACGCGCGATTGAGCGGCTTCCTCCGGGGAGCGCTGGACTAGTGGCATTCGCAGAAACTAGGCTAGTCACGTGGCGCAACATAGAACG